CACCTCCCTAAGGAATTCACAGTGTTGTGGCTGGGCGGGTTGGGGACTAGGGTTTTGTCTGGGGAGATTTCCGTCTTGAGATTGAAGCTAATAAACGCAACAGAACTGTATTTGCATTGTCTCTTGGAGTTCTTTGGGCTGAACCTGACAGTCATCTTCAAGGGCAGCCCCAAGTAGAGCACATTGCAGTAACCTCTAAAGGGCCCCCCAATCTAAGAAAGAGTACAACTGGTATACCAGATGAAGTTGTGCAAAGGCCTTCCTGGCCAAAGCTGCCATCTGCTCATCAAGCAGGAGCTGTGAGTGCAGGAAGACCCCCAAATTGTGCACCACCCTTGAATGGGGAAATGCCATCCTATCCAAGGTCAAAAATGGAATATCCCCTACCAGACTCGTGATTTTTTCCCCCTTTGGTGATTTGAATACTTTTCCCTCTCAAACTTCTGTGAGAAGTGCAAACAAAACAGAGTCTGGCTACATAGGATCATCATCACTTCCTCCTGTTGCAAGGAGACAGTAGTTCTCCTATGTATGTCAAAAGTTAAAGCAGTGTTGCCACTGGTGAAAGACCCAGTGGAGGCACTGATACAGAATGCTCTACATAATGAATAAATCAGTCTAATCTATCTACTTCTTTTTTAAGAGTAAATACAGTTGAATTGATAAGATGTGATCCTGAGAAAATGTGCTATGGCTTAATACAAGTTGACATAATGTATGAGTTTAAAGTGGTAAACAATTTCAGATGCCTAAATATGTCTATAATTTATTTGTCAGTTGGTTACCATATGGTTTTTAGAAAATCAATTTGCTGTATTATGAATATGTTTCTGGGTACAAACAATGAACACAAATCATTAATATAGTTACAAAGTGTGCTGAAAGATGCCTTTTCCTCAGAGACAGGTTTCTACAATACTTTTTTGGATAATTAGCCTTTCCCACAAGAAAGCTCGTTAGAAGACTACATTTTGAAGCTCTTGGGGGATTGGTAAAGAGTTGGGTAGGAAATAGTGAATTGAAATACATAATCATTACACAAATGTAAGTGAATTATTACAATGCCGAAACATCCATAGGAAGGGGATGGCATATTTGTAATTTAATTGTACTTGTAGCAAAGAAGACCAGAAATCATTTAAACATTCTTTTTTCCTTCTTTCTCTTTTTTCTTCCTTTTTCTTCTTGCACTTTGTATTTATTTTCTTTCTACTTTTTTTTATTTCTGATATTCATTTGGATTATCTTTTAGTATTGTTAAAATCCTCAATAAAAATTTTTTTAAAAAAAGGGGTGGCATATTTGTAGGACAAATCCGCTTTCAGTTAAGGGCAACCCAATTAGGCAAGACAAATTAATGCTTCTCTTTATATTGGATATAATATAAATATTATAAATATTTATAATATAAATATTTTCAATTTCTATTTTCCAAGAGATATTATGCAGTGCAAAAAGGCTGAAATTGCTGATGCAACCACTGAGCTCTATTCATGTGAGAACTGAAACTCTGGCACTGACCAAGCTTGAGGTTTGGTGGTATTTATTAATGAGGCTTGGGCCTCAGCTTCCAGCCCACTTTGAAAAGGTAACTTAATCTTTGCTGTTAAACTAATATTAAGCATTAGTTAAAATAGGATTCTGAAAGACTCTTTGACCTAGATTTCTGTTTGATATATATCTTCTCACAAAATAAATCTGTTTAACAATTTTAAGTTTTTACATATCCTAATATTGCATGGTCATGATTGTAGTCAATGAAACTTGTTCAGTGTAGAATACTGGAATTTATAAAGATTTATAATAATGAAACTAATCAAGTTAGTAGTTATTAAACAACATTGAGCTATTAAAAGCTTTATGGATCTTTGCTCTATTGAGTTAAGTAGAACTGAATTGGTTATACATGTTTGTTAAATTGCATTTAACAGTATTGTCTAAATTAATGTTTTTAAAAAATGTTGTGATCAGGAAACAGCACAGCAGATCGCTATGTGCCTGAAGCTGTCTTTCATCTATCACAAATATTCAATAAATATTGTCTTTATGCCGTAGATATCAATTGTTGTGTATTGCTAGAATAAATAATGGGGGCCTAATCTGCCCAGTTAGTTTACTTTGGGCCTCATGCTTCAGCATTTCTTTTCTAGGTTTGTGTACCGTTAATTCAGAACACTTTAAGCCTAGATGCCTCTCTTCTACAAGGAAATTCATCACGGTTAGCTCCTAATCAGAGTTTAGCAATTCCAGGATCTACACAGAAATCAGGTATGAAGCAAGCAGGTACGACCACATTGGCAGCTGTGAGGAGGGAGGGGAAGCACTGGGAAGGTTCGGCGGGGTTGACTACAGTGGTGGTATATGCCATTCTGGAAGGGGAGGAAGGGGGCAATCTCGATTCTACCAAACCATCACTGACCTGAAATGGTTCAAAACAACCCACACAAAACAAATCTTTTCCCATTTCTTCCACACTCCTAGTCTGTCCCAAGGAGTTTGCCCTGCAAAATAGAAAGTTTTAAAAGTTTGAGGTTTGTTAAGGTAATATTAGTAAAAGGCTCTGCAGCGTAAAATTTTGTAGCTGCAGTTTTAAGTATAGGAACTGCAGTTTTAAGCATAGGAGCACTAATGGAAGATAATGCCGTATGCATTTGGGGGAACTCTTTCTAAATAAAATACACTGGCTAGAAGTATAAAGTTTTAAACTACCATCCCGTGGTTAAAAACATGAGACGTAATCACATCTTCAACCTCATTTCAATCAGCCTTCTTTGCCAGCTATTCCTACTGGGTGTTGTGTTGTGTTGTGTTTTGCAAATGAATGATTTTCTCTGCTGGAAGTGAGAAAAAAATGCAACTTTTTATTTCAGGGGTTCTCCCTTTTGGAAATGCTGCCAATCCAAGGATGTCTCTGGATTCTAGCACAGGAGGAGCTATGGCCATTCCATCCATTCAGCTTCTAGGAATTGAAATGCTACTTCATTTCTTTATTGGACCTGAAGTATTGACTTTTGCCAAGGAAAACAATATTGTACTTAGTTTAGGTAACTATTTATTTGGTAAAATAAATTTTTATCAAGGTACAATACTACAGCCTTAGTTTTATTTTTAAAAATACTAATTATCATACCTTTTGTCAGTGATAGAAGTTACTTACTGTCTTCCCATGTAGAACCGCTTCAGTACCCAGTAATCACCAGTCCTTCCTTCTTCTGCAAGCACGCCAATGTTTTCATAAATGCAGCTCAGGATGGTTTCATTGCAGTTGGAAAAGATGCTTCTGGTAAGATTTTTTATGTGCAGATTAGGTATTTATTGAAAGCAGGTATTTGCAATTCTAGAGACAAAAAGCCTCCTAAAGCACTAAGTATAGGAGTGCTGTATAAATATAACTAAATAAAGCAATTAGACAGCTCTTGCCATCAGGCCTAGAATGTAAAAGAGGCAAGATGTAAGGAAAAATATGAGGGAAAAATTTATGATGATGGTTGATTTTAATTGCCTAAGTAGATGGAGATAAGTATTTTACTGACTGTACTCCATTGGCATTGCATTTTTGGTCTGTGGCTGGAGTGTTCCTTGCGGGCTTATTCCATTTATTCTTTGCTCCTTTCCATTCCTGAAAGTAATCTGAATTAGTTCCTTCTCTCCCTCTGTGCAAAATAAGCCCCAGAAACCCTTTTGGTGACCTTTTGAGAGGGAGGAAATGGCTCCCATGGTGAACTGGATGTTAACACTTCACCAAGTTGTTTGTGGCTTTTTTCTACTCCCCACAGCAAAATTCTTCAATGGGCACTTTTTTGTTTAAAAAACAAAAGATTCTTCATATAGTACAGTAGTACAGTAGTCAGCATATTTCAAGTACCAGTTGCAATATTTATTAATATCAGTCTATTTATTGCTTATTTCACTTGATTTCCCCTTTATTTATGTCATGCCTTGCAGATGTTATTCTAATTGCTATATGGAAAGAAATAATTGGTTTTGTGAAAGCTGCAATTGAGTCAGGTAATATGTTCTGGTGTGTATATTTCAACTGTACAGAGATGATGTGAAAGTGAGAAGATACTGAATTTATTCACTTACACTTGTGGCTGGGTCTAAATAAATTGGTGTATCTCATAGTACATACTATGCTACTGTTTGTGCACAGCTTGCAATTAAACTATCTATATACTACTAAAACTCAGTGTTTGTATGTAACCTTCAGTTGGGCGAAACGGTGCATCATAGGGCAACCATTTTTGAATCAACATACATCAAATGAGCTAACTTAAAGAGTGCGTCCAAAATCCCATTACTCCTGTGGGATTGAAATTTGGCAAAGTTGTGGCCACTTCAATGCCACCGCACCTTCCAACTATACTTTCCAGGTTGCGTGGCCCAAGGGAAGATGGGAGGGGCGTATTCCCGTCCTCTTTCCTGCCTCTGTCTGGCCCCTGCACCCAACTGGCTGGTGACAAGGCCTGACAGGCGAATGGCAATTGGCTGCTTTGGAACTGAGGCTGAAATTTGAAATCTCTTAACAGTGGTTGTGGTGAGGGAAGGGCAAGCGAGGCAACTGCCTGCTGGCAAGGTAGAACTAGCTGGGGGGTGCTGGCGGTTGACAGGGGAGCCTTCTTCCTCCCTGGAGGGAGTGGGCCCTTGGGGACATGCTGGGATAGGGAGCAGGGCTGCAGTTTTCCTTGTAGTCTGTGGCTCCCTTTGTTTCCCCTTCCCCCCAGCAAAGCGGCAGGCAGTTCCATGGATCAGCCAAGGAGGAGGAGTGATTTCCAACGCTCCCTGCCAGTGTACCACAAGCAAAGTCAATGGGGAAGCTGGCAGGAAGTCAGAAGTTGCTCCCACTGCCACTGCTTTTTTGCCTGCCCATGGACATTCTGTTTCTCTGTTTAAGTAAGGAAATATCTCTGAAAATATGACCCAACAGGTCACGGGTTGTCTAGTGTTATTTAGAAGTGATTTGCCCAAAATGGGATATGTGTAAAGTTGCAGTAAGTGTGCTAAGCTTGTTAATGTGTCTAGTTTTATAAGATCTGATTGACTACCGTATGCATAACTTATAAATAAATAAATAAATAAATTATTTCTAGGCAACAAAAGAGAGCGGCAGAGTTCAGAAGTACTAACTATGTTGCTGCAGACTTTAAAAAACATTATTTTGTCAAAAGAATTGCCAGTATTAAAGTCACTGGTAAGTGTTGATAAAGTTTTTAGATGTGTGATTTTTAAATTTGGCATTCTTATATAAAATGAACCCTGAATGGGATATGCATCTCAGAGGTTTATATACTTATAAGAGTGATTCCAGTATTTTATTTGTTTATTAGAGTTCAAGGCAGTATTTTGCTATTACACACATGCAGCTTAATAGTTTGGATAAGTCACATTTGTGTGACAAGATATAAGCTATGAGTAGTGCTTATTTCCTGTGCAGCAGAATGCTGCTTCAGGTAACCTTGATTTTTGTTATTATAACATAGCTTCCAAATAAAGATGAACAGTATAAACAAAGGAGAATATTATTTTCTCATTTTAGTAGCGATGATTTGATATAGATACCAGTTAATTGTTTTACCTTGTTACATGTAAAATAAACTATTTTGCTCTCTCTTTTAGTCCTTGATAGAAGTGGCTATTAAAGAATTGCCTCCAAAAGTATTGGGATCACCAGCCTATCAGGTTGCTGACATGGATCTTCTGAATGTAAGTTCAGTATATGTCATGTGTGATACTGCCCAGATTAGTTGTACAAAGCATAGTATACGAGATGACCCTTGTTTCCTGGAAGAAGCATAAGTGGTAAAACTTTAGCCACAGATATTTGTAGGTATTTCTCTTTATAGTGAATCTAGCTAGATCCTAAATTCCTAAACCATTACAAGAATGGGTTTTGAATTTCTGCATATTGGTAAGGTGACACTCTCTCTTCCAAAGCAGAAATCAACAGCTGATGAGTCAGAATGTCACATCCATCTGTTTAAGTCTAAGACATTAAGTGGAAACTTGGAAGATCCCAGGCCAGATAAAGATTAACTTGTCAATGTGGGACCAAGCCAGTTGAGGGTTCATACTGTTCAGAAACCAGGAAGTGTTTTTAATAGTTTTTTCCTTTATAGGAATGCACTCATAATTTAGGTTCAACAAATAATGCAGTTAAGCAAAAATCCAACACTTGACCACCCTTCTGTATATTATAGTCTTACTCCACCAGAGCAGCAGCACATCAACCGCATTATGCACTAATTTGCAATTAAAAATAAATCTGAAGTAGCAGAAATGAGAAACATATTCATAAGTGCCATAAGATAGATATTGTGGCATCTTCCCTCACAGGGTCAGGAAGATGAAATGTGGTTGTACAGAGCTCAGAATTCATTTTTGCGTAGAGTAAGAAAGATCTAACTGGGCTAGGAATGCACATAAAGGCAACCACAGGAGCCTGCTACTGCTCCTTCATCTGCATTGTTTTCGTCTGCAGTATTTTTGCCTTTGAAGGAGAATTCCAGGAATTTGATTCAAATCATTGTGTATTAATTGCAATATTTACATATGAGATTGTCTCTTCTATATTAATTGTGTGAAATTAATTTTTAAAATAGTCTGCTTGCTATTAAATGCAGAATATATTGCAGAAATGATCTTCCTTCTTTTTCCATTTGTAATATGGAAGCCTACTTTTTACTTTTTTTCAATTAAAGGGATAACAAAGGCCAGTTGTAGGAGTACTTCATTAAATAATGAAGACTGATTTGGGCCAGCCCTGCCCTGTATAAACCTCACAGCTTTCACTACCCTCTTCACATAGAGGCATAAACCTGCTTAGAAGAAATATCTGGAGAATTCTGAAAAAAGTAATTAATACCTGTCAGTTTGGAAAAGTTTATAAACCATTTTGAAAGTTCTGAGGATCTACCAATTCACAATCAGAGACAGACTTGAAATGAAGATTATTTTGGACAATAGTGAATGTACATGAGAATGGCTTTCTTTTCAAAATCATCCCAAGAGTGCAGCATAAAATCATGCAGAAAGTCATGAAGAGTCTCTTATTTTGAGCAGAAGCACTGTTCACTACAGTACTCTGCTATTAGAGGTAAAGGTGGGATTCACGTGAGTAGCAATATGGAAGCCATTGCTCACTAAGGAAAAGATTGATGCTTATCTCAGGTTTGCCCCAAAGCACCTGGATGACCTTCCAGATTTATGGAAGAACATCAAATGAACAGATGAATCAAAAGTAGAACCTTTTGGGCAACAGGGATGTCATATTTAGTAGAAACCAAACATGGCATTTCCCAACAAGCACCTCATATTGGCTGTGAGGTATGAAGGTGGTAGCATCATGGTTTGAGGATGCTTTGCTGCGTCAGGTTCTAGGTAACTTGCCTTCACTGAAGGAAGCATGAAATCTGCTTTGTATTAAAGAATTCTACAGGAGAATATCAGATCATCTGACCATCAGCTAAAGGTCAGCTGATCCCAAACATAAGCAAGTCTGCAGGAGGATGAATGAAGAACAAATCAGTGTTGGAAATGGTCAAAGTCCAGACCAAACTCCATTGAAATGTTGTAGCGTGACCTGGAATGAGCAATTCGTATTAGGAAATTTTCAGATGTTTTTGAGTTGAAGCAATGTACCATGGAAGAATGGGCAAAAATTCTCGCAGAATGACATGAGAGATTGATCACCAATTACTGGATATGTTAGGTACAGTTATTGTAATTAAGGTTAATGCAACCAGTTCATGAATCTAAGGAAGTAATTATATTTCATACTGACATTTCATGTTGGATTACTTACAAAACAGGCACCAGACTTGGGTGTTATTTCTTCACTTAGATTCCCTTTAAATAACAATAGGTCCCTCATGAGGCTCAAATAACATTCAGTAGAGAATATGCGCAAACATTCATAAATCCTGAAAGAAGGTGAATATTTTTCAAAGAACAGTATGGAATTAGACACAATTCACTTATTAATTCAATTAAAAACAGGAAGTTCTAAAAATTTGGAAGTTGAATTTACATTATTTTGCCAGCCAAGATGCCAGAAAGAATACCTAGTCACATGGTAAACCTTTATAATATGTCACATGTGGCCACCAAATTCTTACAGCAAGATTATGACCTTTTTTTGTGTTCAGGGTTGGAATAGGAGAGTAGGCAGCAGAACAAGTCCAGTTGACCCTCCAAGAGTTCATGGCCTTTATCACAACAATTTCTACATTGATTTACTGCTGTAAATAGCAGTCTAGAGCTGATAGATGTCGGTCTTGAAAGCAGTGTTGTAATTATTTTTTTAAAAGCTTCTAATATTCTTACCAGCTTGCTAAACTTTAAAAATCTGAGGTATCAAAGAAAAATAATGAAAAATAAAATTGAGAAATTTTATTCTGTAGTCATGGCTTTTTTTTTTTTAAGACCTTTTTGGAGGAGATGTGGGAAACGTAAGATTTTACACCTATAATATTTTATTTTATTTTATATTTCAAATTTGGACACCGCCCATCTCACAAGGAAGATAATGCTGGTAATGTTGCAGTATCTTAGGTGACATTCCTTCTGAGCCCTGAAATTCACTAGGTAGCTCTACAGTTATTCCTCTCTCATCTAGGAACCGATGGGAGATATAAACCAATACCTCTAATACTGAAATTGGTGGGAAAATAAATCAGAACCAATATATCTCATTGATTTTAGTAGAGCTTAACGATCAGTAGCTTAATATGGAGCCAATCCCATTTATCTGAATCAGCTAGCACTCAACTAACATGAATTCTGTTTGTGAGGGGATAGTACCATGTTCCACCAATCTTGCTGCTTCTGAAAACTTCTCAGTGATTTCAGTTTTTCAAAATATTTGTTCATATTTAAAGAGGAAAACTTGTTTTCCATACTTCAAAGCTTTCACAAACCTAACACCTGCATAAAGAGAACAGCTAATATCTAGGGGTTGAATCATTTAATAAAAGTACGTTGCTTGACAATTATGAAACAGAAGTTGACACCTGAAACTGATGATGGTAAGCAGGGTTGGTAAGGCAGAATAGAATTTATATTTCTGAAATATTCCAATGAATAGCAGACGTACTGCCTAAATACTTAGGTTTTCCTTTCTTGACAGGGAACTCCAGCACTGTTCCTGATTCAGCTTTCATTCTGTGAAGATCTTCTGAAATGTGGAGTTCAAAATGAAAGGTAGGTACTCCAGAATAGTTTTTTTTAATTCTATATCATAATAAAGAATAGAGCAGTTTTTAAAATTCTGTATCCTAATACCTGAATTCTGTTGAAGTTGCTATTTTATTTAAAGTACCCCTTTCTTTTAAAATGTAATAATGATTAACAAATGGTAGTGCTATCCTGCTTAAAAGTATTACATTACCTCCCTCCCCATCTCTAAAAGTTAAAACTAAAACAACTGATTTGACTATGTCCTGTTGGATATTTAGTTGCTAAAAGACATCTCTTTAATTTTGATTCAAGTTACTTTTTTTTTCTTAACTAGGTTTTTTTTTAACTATGAATCTCTTGTGGAGTATGTTTTGTCTGGCCCTACATCTCCTCTGGCCTTTAGTGAGTCTGTACTCTCAGTTGTTAATCAAAGTGCCCTGCACTTGGAAAATAAGGAGCATCTGTGGCGAATATGGAGCATTGTTGTTAGCCCATTAACTGAATGGATTAAACAGGTATAGTGAATTTCTTTGATCTAATTAAATGTCTGTTATATAGAGATACATAATATCTATCAAAATATTGCTACAGAAATAAGAACACTTTCCAGAACTGGATTTAAAAAATAAAAGAGAAAATTAAGGTTTAATGTATCTTAATATGAGGGGGGACCCAAAAAAACCTGGAATTTATTTATAAAAAATCGTGTAGTTATTTTTACATGTTCAAACATCAGTCATCTTCAAAGTACTCTCCATTTGATGCAGTATGCCAATCGAGACATTTTTTCCACTGCTCAAAACAGGTTTCGAACTCGTCAATTTTGATGCCTTTTAGTGCTTCTACCGTTTTTTGTTTCACCTCCTCTACATTGGCAAAACGGTTCCCTTTGAGGACTTTTTTCATCCCGGGAGACAAGAAAAAGTCACACAGGTCAAGATCAGGTGAATAGGGTCATGCTGTTTTTGGTCAAAAACTGCTGAACACTCAGCACAGTGTGTGCAGGTGCGTTGTCATGGTGGAAGAACCAGTCACCTGTTTGCCACAACTCGGGACCTTTCTTTTGCAAATCGTGACGCAGCCTTCTCAAAACTTCCAGATAAAAACTTTGGTTGACCGTTTCACCCAGAGGAACAAATTCCGAGTGCACAATCCTTCTCACATCAAAGAAACAGATGATCATTGTTTTCACGTTTGACTTCACCTGTGCTTTTTTGGGTCGTGGGGATATGGCAGTTTTCCATTGGCTGGATTGCTGTTTCGTTTCAGAGTCATAGGCGTAGCACCAAGATTCATCTCCAATTATGACTTTTGAAAAAAAATCAGGGTCAGCCTCCAACTGCTCCTTCAAAGCATGGCATGCAGTCAAGCGATTGTCTCTTCGTTGAGGCGTGAGCAAACAAGGCACGAATCACCCATCACGAAATAGGCAAACGCGTTGAAAGAACCTCTAAAAAAAAAAACTCACTAAAGCCGAACGCAGCCTCTCACAACAATCCAGCTGGTACACTGATGCAGATGGGTTCCTAGAACACTAACCTAGCGGGGGAAGCCTATACTACAAGGGGCCCGCCCTCCAGAATATAATTCTGGTTTTTTTGGGTTCCCACTCGTATATAAAATCCAGGTGGTATCAACCAAGATATAACGTTTTAAATGCTTGGTCTGTTAAAAACTTAGAGGGATTTTTCAATTTGGGCTGTTTTTTTTTCCTTAGACAAATGAAGTAAATCAAGGTGATGCTTTGGAGCATAACTTCAGTGCAATTTACTGTGCATTGTTGCTACCTGTAAAATATATATTCTCATCTTCTGAATTTCCACAGGTAGGAAACTTTAGACAATTATATTTGAGTATCTATAGTAGTACTTGTCATTTAGAATCTAAGATTTGTTAAAATTGATTTGTTTTGCTACAGCCTACCATGAAAACACTATTGCGTTCTTGGTCAGAACTGTATAGAGCATTTGCCCGTTGTGCGTTACTAGTAGCAACGGCAGAAGATAACTTATGTTGTGATGAACTCTGTGCCAAAATATTATCTGGATTAGAAGACGAAGCACATCTTGTAAGTGTAGGCTTCCCTTGTCCTAGTACACATGCATTTGTTTGCTTCTTTCCATGCACTCTTGACAAATCTATTTTGTTTCTTTTTCAGAATCAATCCATGTTGGATGGACTCTCTCACATCACATCAGTCATGGTTGAATGCATCAATTTTGCACCTTATGATAAGAAGTATCAGCCAACAAATAGATGTAAGATTTGCTAGTATGAAATGTTGCAATATTGAGTGCTCTAGCCCTATTTTCCTTCCTTTTGTATTTTTGGTTCACCACTACTAATAGTCAACCTGCTTTTTCTGTCCAGTAGGCATGTTCATGTTTTATAAAGCACAATGATTCCTTCTACATAAACTGCTCTGTTCTTCCTATTAAATAATCAACATTCAGAAAACTGAATTTTATATTCAGTATATGAAAGTAAGGCTTATAGCATAAAGTTGTGTTGTTCAAATAAGCTTCATGTGAAGTTTTTTTCCACTGTCCTTTTTCTTCTCACCTTTACTGGTATCTTTCATGCTCACTAGTTTGCCCATTCCTTACTGGGTTGTTGTGTTAGATTCTCCCCCTCTCCTTTTTAAAAAATTCTAATTTGGGGGTAGGGTTCACAATTCCCATGATATTCTTAGTGTGCAGGTGCTGATGTTCTGACTCCATAAACACAGGCAATATCCCTTGAAGATTAGAAATAGAATGGTGATTCTAAACATGTGTTGGTTTGTAGTAAACAGAAGTTGGTTGATGTTTTTGTAGGTTTGGTTGATATCAGAAGTCAATGCTTAAACATTAACTTAAGGCTTTCAGCTATTTGTGTTTATGTATATATTAAGTATAAGCCAAGTGCCGCCCTGATTGCAGACAAACTGTTGAAAGAGAGGGTTTGAAAGGTTCTGTTGGAAAAGAATATTTCTATTTAGGGAAGATCTAGTGCAGAATTAAGATGCCCCTGTGGTTAATAGACAAAAAGCAGGCTGCAGTGTCATTTGTTCCATTCCCTCCAGTGCCCCATTGCTCATAATCTTCTGCCCCACTGCTCTTAATCATAACAACCTAGGGTTTGGAACTTGGTTACAGAGGAACATGATTTTTAGCCTTCTACAAATTATACTGCAACTAGTGAAGTATGGATAAATCTGAATAATTTTTCATTTTAAAATGCTAGTAAGTTGTTTATGTTCCAAACAAAATTAATGGATTAAATTGTTCTTCAGCTCCGCAGACACCAGTGGACTGGGCCAAAAGGAAGAAAGATCCCCTTGGCAAGCTCTCTTCTTTAATTAAACTTTTGGTAATATTGATAAACTCTCTTCAGATGCTTGCATCCAAGGAATCTGGCTCTGAACAGTTAGCTCCTGTTGGTTCCGTGATTGTTGGTGTTCTTCAAAATATCATTGGTCACATCTCTTTGCCTTCTGTCATCAGATCTGTCTTTGGATCTATTACAAAACCATTAGCAGCATTATATGAAAAAATGAAGTAAGTATGTATACATTATAGAGTTGGGTTTCATTGACATAGCAGTTGCATGCTGATGTTATTGTGCTGAAAGTAATTTGAAGTAATTATGGAAGGCTATCTATGTGGCTTTGGATGGCCTTACATAATGACTTCAGATTAAAGAGGACAACCAGCAAACTAGAGATGGATGGACTCAAGTACAGTGGTGATGGATGCACCCTTGGAAGACCTGAAGGACCAGGTTGGGGAAAGATCATCCTGGAGAAAAGGTTTCTCTGTGGTTCCTAAGAGGTGACAACGACTTGAGGGCATATCATAATCATGAAAGGCCTCTTAACTATATTACTTGAGCTCTTGAATTTCTAGATATACTTTACTGGTGGCATCTTAATTTAAAGTTCTGTAATTGAACTATCAAATTTCAAATCAGTTTTTTATATTTATATCAGTTTTTAAATTATTTTAAACCAAGTAACTTTACAATAAATCAAACATTTATTACAACTGCAAAATGCAAGTTTCACCAAGGAGGTTTACTCATTTTTCTGCTAAGAAAGAAATGATTATTACACAGGTGTTTCATCTTGAAACAGAAGTGTGATTTGTTTTTTGATTGCAGACATTTTTTTTACCCATATGTTAGTTAACTTATCAATTCGAAAGCTTATGGGATTATGCAGCTAAGATTTTCTTAGTTGAGCAACAGCATAGAAATATGTACAAGATTGAAATTTAATCTTAACCCTTCTCTGAGGATTCATTTTAATTATGTTGCAGAGCATCAGCCTATTCCTTGATGTGTTGATGTGGGCATAATTATATATACCTTAGCTGCATCTCATTTGAACAGATATAAAACCCTCAGTGTTGGACTGCCTTTGAAAATTGTTCAGAAGGTTCAGCCAGTTGAAAATTGGAGTCCAGATTCTTGACTGGGAACAGTTACAGAGAATATGTAATTTTGTTAACACAGATAAACTATTTAACGATCTGTTTCTGGGTGACTTTCAAAGCACTCATGACGTATGAAGTTTTACATACAAGTCTTGATTTTTAACATCTTCGGGAGAGGCCCTACTCTCAGTCCTTCTGCCATCAAAAATACATTTGGTAGAAATGCAGGAAGGCACTCTCAGTGACAACTCCACCATTCCCAGATAGGTTGGTCCCTGTTATCCTTCTGCCAGCAAGCAAAGAATTTTGTTTTGCTTTCTTTAAAAAAAATAAATAACCATTGAACACATTCATTTGTTGAGGTGTACTTTACCTGCCTGGGGCACTGCTTGTTTTGTTTTTCTTTTGTTTTTTACTGACTTGAGTAGCTCAGTGTTGTAATTCTGTTTTTATCTTCATTTTTGGTGTTGCCTTGAACACCATTTCAGAAACAAAGACAGAAAATAAAAAATATATTATATTTGAATACTTGATCTGGAGTTCAACCCATAGTTTCTTAATATATTCAGTGTATCCTTTTAACTGAACCAGTATGTACTGTATATCTTACATATTAGTTATGCTTCATCTTAAGATTGTAGTCAAGCTGCAGTTGTTGCTTATGATAGATGAATACTGATATGCAAACTATTTTTTTCTACAAGGTCTGCTAATACATCTAGAATGATTAATGGACTCAACAACAAGGTACTGCATATGTGAAAAAAGCTATTTGTGTCCTGAACGCTAACAATATTGAATGTCCTGCTGTTCTGCAGCTAATTTTATAACTAACACATACAACACAAACATATATATGCTTATAGGTTTTTTTATTGTTTTTGAGTATATTGTGCTTCGTACTGTGTTTGTCTTTGTACATCACCTACAGCCTCTGAAGTGAGTCAGTTTATAAATTTTATAAATAAATAAAATTGTGCGTGGTCACTTGATACACAATGAGTACCTTCATGCTGCAGTGGCAATGGATATTGTGGATATTGCATATCGCAGGATTTAATAATTACTTTCTGTGGTAGGAGGGGAGAATAAATTAGGACCTGTAGACTATCAGCTGAATGTTTAAAACACTATGTTATATTGGCATCTGTATGTAACTAATTCCAACATGTTAATCATTACTGTAATTCTTTTTAAAATATTTCTTTAATTCTGATTTTTTTCAGCCCAGGGAGGGGCTGGCTTCCTCTGTGGAGGAAGATAGATTATAGATTAATGGCTTAACTGGCATGGGTTGGGGTAGTCAGCCTCCACTTAGTTTATAGCCATTATCTTGGAATTGTTTTAAACTGCAGACCTAATGGCTAAAATTCCAGATGTAATTTGATTATGATTATAATGATTATGGACTCAACAACAAGGAGTTGTTTGCTTCCCCCAATCCTCTGCTTGGTGAAGAGGAACTTGAAAGCTTGCGCACATTCTACTGCAGTATAAATCTGTCTCTTAACCCCAGACATGATTTTAAGAAGAGCTAATATACTGAAATCTAATCCAGACGAGAGAGGTGTTCCCAGCTAAGAACCACATGGGCTCTGGAGTAGAAATACAACCAGATTTGGATGGGAGAGCACTGCAGGCTGCAGTGGCACTTCTAGCTAGCATGCATTTGTACAGCTTCTGTTGAAGTGCCAAGGGGACCTATCCCAACAGCAATATCAGATTGTCACCCTTTTAACTGGACTAATCTATATTGTCCAGTTTTATCTCGATAGAATTATTGCTGTTTGAATGGCCTTCAGAAATTGCAATTGGTTCCAAATGCAGCAAAAAACATTTAGGTAGATGTTTACGGCAGGACCATACTATACAAGTCCTTCAAGGGCTACGATGGTCACCAGTGGGTTTCTCTGTCAATTCAAAATGTGGGTGATAAGGCCAGATGAGGGACTCTGCCTCCCATACCGTTTTGTCTGCCTCTTCAAATCTGATGGAGATATACTGTATTGGCAGGGATGAGTGTAACATCCTTCTTGATGCGTGTGAAGCTCTCTGTCTTGGGAGGTTCAACTGATGCCATCTCTGGTTATTCTCCTGCTAATTGATTAAGACTGAGTAGTCAAGAAAACATCCCAGAAGTTTGTGCAATGGCAGACTACCTCCGTATTGTTGTGAAGGCATCAGGCTAGGATAGGGAGGAGCCAGTGGTGGTGGAATCACTGTAGTGACATGGGAAGTGTGTTGCTTCGTGTATGGGTAATATGATTGCTTCATTGTTGTTTTTACTGGCTTTGTTATGGGCCACCTAGGATTATTGTATATAAGATAGGCAGCCATGTAAGGTTTGTAAATAAATAAGTAACACTGCATGGGTGTGTCCATCAAGCCATCAGGAATTGAACTCAGTTCCCGATGGCCTAATTGCTTTTAGATGATAACTTGATTTTGGTTTTAGTTGTTGTAGTCCAATCTGAATGGAGTATAAGCTAAAAAAGGCAATTTGCTTGTTATGTAAATGCCGATGAAATTAATACATTGTAATTTTTTTTTAATTAATGGCATTTCTTACTCCATTTTTGTTTTCAGTTTGAAAAGTTACTGGGAGAAAGTATTACTTGTTTGCAGTCCCACTATACTGGATCCTTTAACAGTGAGCTCTTGGAAGAGCTTTCTCCATTATTGAACATAATGTTTTTGAATAAGAATAAGCAGATATGCAGCCAAGGTGCTCAGTTTTGGAATGCAACATTTGGAAAAGCTGTAACCCTGGAATACCCCGAAGAATTAAAGTAAGGCATCTTTTATTTTTGTGTGATTTATATTCTGTAACCTGGAAACAACTCTTAGACTTGTGTAGAAGTTTAATTTTCACAAACATACTATCACACAACATACCATAGGTTGGATCCAGACATTCCTCCTGCTAATAGATGGATTCCTGCTGTTTATGAATGAGACTATGGCCCAGTGATTTCCTCCTGTGCCTGAAACATCCCTCTGGAGTAACAGAGTAACATGCAAAGGGGCAGTACAAGAAAGAAGGAATTCATTATTATTTCTCCCAGTTGCTTCATTCAGTTGAGCATCCCAGGACCAAAACTCATAGGAAGGATGGATCACATCCTGTATACAGATAGTCCTTGGTTAACGACCACTCATTCAGTGACCGTTCAAGGTTACAGTGATGCTGAACGAGTGGTACTTATAGCTGGCCCTCAAAGTTCTGGCCATTCCAGCACCCCAAAGTCACATGATTGCAATCTGGGCACTTGGCAACCAGCTCACACTTAGGACAATTACAGCATCCCATGGTCACATGATCACCATTTGCAAACTTCCCTGCTGGCTTCTCACAAGCAAAGTCAGTGGGGAAGCTGGCAGGGAAGGTCACAAGTTGCTTCTGTAAGTTGCTCCCTCTCCCACTGCTTTTTCTTCCGAGGAGCCCTGCTATGGAGTACAAGATCCCAGGGATCTCATACTCTGTAGTGCGCATGATGGCAACACCCCCCACCCACACTCTGTAACGCACACCCGGCCACACTCATGCCAGGCTGCAGCACCCAGCCATGCTCGCACCACAGCAGCCACCTGCGTGCCCTCCCACATGCAGTCCGCAATTACTGTGGTTAAGCAAGGACTGCCGGTATTCACTCTTTCAGCTGTGAACTTTGTCTAGGATAAAGCAAAATAGGCACAACATTCCGTTTTGATGTTTTTCCCATCTTTTTTGCTTAAAAACTAGAATCAGCCTTAGGAGGGTTAGGAATCTGAAGAAAGATCTGGAGCCTAATCTGTTCTGTCTGGTGGTCTTATGTTCAGAGTTTCATGTAACAATTAAGTAAACTTGATAGTGAAATTCTGTATGAAAATACAACTGAAAAATGCTTAATCTTTTTGTCTTTAATTTGTTTGACCCATTTAACCCAAGATAGATATGAATGGGGAAGCAATTATTTGGGGAAAATATATGTGAAAATGTGTTCTGTTTGGATTCAAAGCATCTTTTATAAGATTGGAATATTCTCTTTTTGTGAATTAATGCTGTATCTCAACATAGGCTTACTCAACGTAGTAAGCTTATTCTTAACAAAACATTTATCTGGATAAGTCTTCTCCAGAATTTCAAGTTTAAAGTAGCAATATACTATATGCATTACTATACTACTTCATCATTCAGGCAAAGCAGACATGTTTTCTATTTGTATTTGTATCTGCTTTTTATTTTGATATGAATAATTATTGGATAGCAGAGTATGAAAACGTAGAATAAATACTAAAGAAAAACTTTAATAGTTCTGCTTTTAAAACGTCAAGTATAAGTACTTCGACCAGAACAAAGCTTTTAAATATCACTGTAACTTCCAGATTTTCACTGCTATCTTATGCTTCCTTGCAGATCTGTTTTATATAAAGCAAAACAGAAATTCATACTCTTATTGCCTGGTTTTGAAAGCTGTGAGATAATGGATGAAAGTAATGTTACATATTCTGATTATGTGAGTATTGGATTTTTCACTTCCACTTTGGAATTTTGTTAGCAGATTTTTTTGACCTGAGGAAATACAAACTTATATAGCATTAGATATATGTATGGCGTGGTATGTGTGTTTTGCTTTAATTTTAAATAGTTGCATGTATGTCTGAAAAATGCTTCTTAGTAACAGCACTTCAATATTGTTGAAACTGTACAGAAATAATGCAAGATTTTATTGATATTTTAATTTATTTTTGTTAAGTTATGCTTAAATCTGTTAAAACAGACAGAGAATTCCCAGTGGGATGCAAACATAAGTGGGATAACAGTAAAACCTAATGGAAAAAGGGACTCATTACTGGCTCAAACTAGTGAGCCAGAGGAAAAAAGCATTAATTCTCACACTACGCCTGCAAAGGTAAGACATAAAAGTTTACTAATCAAATTATATTTTTGGCACTTGTATCTCTAGTAGTTATAAGAAGTAACAATGAGGAGATATAGCATGGTAGTCTGGATATGGGTTCACCGTTTAAATTTGTGGTTAAATTTGCAGTTGACCGTCTTGTTCTCCCTTCATCTGTAACAAGGGTGAGCACCATTTCTTTCTTGCATTGTGCTTGAGATACAGACTCAGTACTATTTATAAGCTTTTCTTCTGTTTTTATTTTTTTTCCTCATACAAGATGAAACTAGAATTCTCAGCGTCAAAATCAAATAGAAAAAACATGCTTTTGGAAGAAGAAAATACTGTGGATTTTGTGTTTATTCCTCCAGAAACAAAAGAGAGGGTGTTAACAGAGCACCAAAAAGAAGTTCTGAGAACTAAAAGGTTTGTAATCTTATGTTCGTCCTATTAACAGAATTTCTGTCCTCTATATTTTGAGGTTTAGGAGTCTAAGAACACACATTCTGTTTTGCCAGCTAGCTTCTGATTTTCACAGATTAATCCTTTTGTGGACAGGAGATGGTAGGTTTTGCATTGAACAGGCTCCCATGGCTTTGATGGAACTAAGAAGATCTTTATAGTTGGCCATACTTTTCTCTGCTTATCCAGACTCAGTAACTAGTAAGGAGTTTACTAAGCAGACTGCTGCATAGAGAAGAGGTCACCATAAAACAGCCTTCTCCACAAGATGCATTGAATTACATTTCCCAGAATTCTCAGCTGGAATTGTTTCGAGAAAGACTGCAAGGTTTCAATTTCCTAGAACATACTCAGTAATAATAAAAATATTATGGGAAGAAAAACATACTCTGCAGAAATAAAAG